TGTGTGTGTGTGTGTGTGTGTGTGTGTGTGTGTGTGTGTGTGTGTGTGTGTGTGTGTGTGTGTGTGTGGGCGTGTGGGAGTAACAAAGAGAGATAGAGCAGGAAAGGGTTAGAAAGTAGGAGAGAGTGGCAGGCTCTTGGTTTCCCGTGGGTGTGCTGCAGTAACATAGTAATCCTCATTAATATTTATCTGCCAGGCAAAGTGGAGACAATGATTAGCTTGAGAGAGATAGGTAGAAAGAGCGAGAGTGTATATGTGCGTGCATGTGCGTGAACACCCTTTAATGCATGTGTGTACAGTATTTAGAGCATATAACACATGAACTAGGTCAACTTCTATACTTAAGAGAGTATAAAAGTCCCAATACTTCAAAGGCTTATGTCATGTCATCACTGGGTGTTTTTCATTGCACAAATGCTCAGTAAACAATATTTTTATTTAATTTATTCCAAACACCCACAGGACTAGTGAAACTAAAGCTCACAGCATGCACTCTTTCACTCTCACAGACGCAGACATATAGAAGCTCATTGCATTCATCCGTCTCTCGGGCCAGATTACTTTATGTTATTGATTTTTCTGCTTGCACCTCTAATGTGATCACATTAAGCAAGACTGATCAGAATTGAATTCCTGGTTGGGTCTATATGGATGTGTCACTTACGAGCTCTGTTGCAATGACATCGATCTGTGTGTCTTTGTATGTTGGAAAAAAAAAAAAAAGAAAAATCCAAAGCAATCTAGACCCATGCAAGTCACGTGTCGGGTTCAGTGTTGCATAAAGTGTTTCAACGTGTCAGTGTCAGGTGCACTTTTTGCTCTCCGGCGCACAGCTCGTTTAAGGTATTTGTGTGCCAGAGAGCCTCAGCTGAGAATCTGCTTGTGAATTTATAGTTTTGGTGACCCATTTCCCTCCACTCCTCTCTCTTTCACTCGCTCTTTCTGCCTTGCCTCCACTCTAGTGTAACACGCCTGAGTGGAAAATCAGAGAAGAGAAGGAAGACTGAGAGATATGAGAGACGAGAGATGAAAGAGGCCAAAAGAGATGGAGAAACAGGAGAAAGTAAAGAGGCCAGTCATGTATACATGAGGAGCAGACAGATGATTTCCCCGTGTCTTATGTAGATTTTCTCACTAGTTAACTGTCAATTCAATTTGTCCATCACGGTTCTGAATGTAAAAAAAGTCTCTTTTCCACTCCGTCTTCTTACTTCGTGGATAGCCGCCCAGCTGACACTGTTGGCCGTGTCTGTTTACATCACAGTGGCTGTCTGACCTTTCCCAGGATTCAGCAGGACACAGCAAACACATGGAATCATGGGAACAGCGCACACTCATACCCAGCCTCCCTCTTCTCTCCTCGCCGAAACAAATATTTACACCCCCTTGTAAGTTACGGTCACTGTGAGATGAGCGTCTCCAGTCAGTTTGGAAAATTCACACTGCACAAATACCACACATTCCTCATGAGTTTCTCAAGACACCACTGAGAGGACAACGTCAAACCCTGAGATAGAAGTATGGGAAATGATTGCTGTGGAAGCAGAGGTATTCTGGAGCTTATGGTTGGTGTAAATGTAAGCTGATTCTTAGAGGTTTACTTATGTTATGTTCTGAACCCGATGTACACCACAACAGCCTCCCACTCATATGTTTGTGGTTCCTTTAAGTCATACAATAATTTGTATGCACACAAAGTCTCACACACAAGCACACTATCTCAGCAGTACAGAAATGACCCTCGCATCAATAAGCCTCGCAATGAATCAGAGCGGGCTACGAAAGGCCATTTAATCCCCCCCCCCCCACATACACACAGTCAGATTGGTGGTTTGGTAGAAAAGGCAAAGAATTACTGTACTGTACAGAGTTATTGAATTTTTATATCGATCAAGTCTCTGAGGACAGACTGTGACGAAAGTAGGAAAAATGAAAGCATTTGGCTGCACAAAACCAGCAGACGTTATTTTTAAATAGCACAACTGCCATAAATAAAATTCTCTGTAACCAGTCGTGATCTGCAGGAGGCAAAAAAAATGTGTGTGTTTGATTTTAGAGTTACTTTAACATTTCTATCAGACGTAACATAGTGAGCATTTCTCATACAAGCTGTAGTGTTTTAGTAGTGCTGTTAAGCCAGAATTTATAACAGACTGGCAAGGATTTACATACAGGCGCTGCTTGCTTGGCAGAGATTATATATGGGGTTTGTATTGCCTCCATGTGGCCATTTTTGCAAATGGATGTATGCAAGCAAGTGTAAGATTCATTGTGGATTTCTGACTCAAATAAACAACTTAGTTTGACGTAATGAATTATATTCAGTCTTTTTTTTTTTCACAAGATAATGAGTTGGCGAAGACTAGCAGACGGTTGGAGCAGGCATCATTTTTCTTTTTTCAAAGCTTAGATAGGTCAGACCAGGATACTCCAGCCTGGGAAAACTGGCTTGGGGGAAAAATATGTCCTTTTTTAAAAACATTCTGGCAAAAATCCAAGTGACCAGATGTCAGTGTTACTGTGATTCATTCTACTGTATCGTGCTTGCAGTTATGCTTGTATATAATGTGTGCCAGTCTTCTTTTCCTTCAAAAACATACACTTAGTGTTCAGTCTGAACAGGTGTTTGAAAGGAATGGACTTACCACAGAAACATACCTCTTTCCTTGAAAACCGAGACAGTGAGAGAGAAAGTGAGAGGACTGGTTTCCCTCAGTGTGTGCTGCAGTATTCGAGTGCATATCGCTTTAAAAACAACCTCCAGTCGGGTAGACTAAGAGACCGGCTGCATTTCCTAAGTGGGAATGTTTGTGTTTGTGACGCTGAGAGCAACGGACAGAGGGTGCTTTGCTTCAGTGGGAAGAAAAGGGACAGGAAGAGAGGAGGACCAGGAGAGAAGGAGTCAACAGGGAACACTAGCTGTGTGGGACTGGGGCAGAAGGACTAGCATGGTTTGACCTTGAGGAGGCATCACTCCAGTGAATCCCAGAGAAGCAAGTGGCCCTAGAGGGACAAGAGAGGAGACAGACACTGGGGTTAACCTGTCTCTCTCAGGCTTACCTCTAGAAATGACTCATGTATTATCTACTGGATCTAAGTGGCATCAAGAGGACAATAAAGGCTAATCATACCATCTCATTGCCACTACCTGTGGATGTCCCTTTGATATAAACTCATATTGCTGTGTATTCGTCTGGTGGCAAAGTAGTTAGTTAGGGATGGAGGCTGTCTTGTTGGGTTTAGATGAGGTGGTCTGTACTCGACAGGGCTTGCTATGGACTCTCACCTCCACAGCCATCCGGCGGATTCGCGTGCATGCCAGGAACCTTCCTGGGCCTCTGCATCTATTGCACACACACAGGTGTGTTTCAAGGCCGCTTTATCAGGTAGGATTCACCTCCAATACACACAAAACGTAAACATTTAAAAAAGAAAGAAAGAAAGAAAGAAAGAAAGAAAGAAAGAAAGAAAGAAAGAAAGAAAGAAAGAAAAAGTATATATATCAGATAGATTTCTATGCACATTCATCTCAGTAGGCATTTTGCACTACATTTTATCCCAAATAATTGTGGACCTCTTAAGGCATACTTGCGTTTACATGCTGCCCTCCCGTGTAATAAGGAGCTGTTATTAATGAAGGATTCTGCACTTGTGCGTCAAGGGCTTGAGGCAGAAGAAGAAAGACAAGTAGGGAACAGATGATGTACTCTAGGGCCAGGTATGTCCTCCTGACAAAGGCTGGGGCCAGAGACAGGGCAGGGTTAAACTTGACTGATTTGTTTCATTAAGCTTGAAGGACAGAACTGGGTTGGATGTCATGGCTATGTTCCTGCTAGGTTTATGTACTGAATAGAACTTTTTTTCACTTAGCCGTTCCTGTGTATAGTGTTCTTTTGTTTTTGTTGTGCTCGGCATACACAACAGGAAGTTACGTTGCCAAGGTCAGTATTAAAGAGGTGGTAACTAAGCTGTTAAGCTGGTAAGTGTTTCTATGGGCATCTAAAAGGGGGATGCTTGCACACAAAAACACACACATAGAGGCTATTTTGTAAGCTGTCTGGTCTCTCTGTCTCCTTTGCCTCACATTTCACTCCCTGCTAACTTTGTGTTCTCTAAATGTGTCAATTTGCTTTAATAATGCAAGCCCTTTCTCTAGTCTGCATTATTTTATTTGTGTAAAAGCAGCAGCTTCTTTTGTGCCTTGTGCCTGTCTAGCTGTGATTCAGCAAAAAGCTTGATCAGTATTCACGTCACCATGTCTGAATTGATGCACAGGGCTTTCATGGACCCATTAGTATTCCCCAAGCATCTCACCTGGCCTGTATGCAGCTGGTACCACCAGGACAAACCCAACAGACTCACCAGGCCTGTAGCTAAATGATAAGAAGCACACTGCATAGCAAAAATTCATCAGCGCATACATGCACACGAAGATAAACATACACAGCATGCGCGTTTTCCTGCCTTTTTTCTCCGATTCCCTTTTTATTCTCAAGAGGAGAATAATCTGGATTGTTATTCTAACTTTTGTCTTCAAATGCGGTTTTATGTAGCTCCTCGGTTTAAGCATCCTAAGGGAGGGTAACACAATCAGAGGAAGCTGAAACAAGGCCTCCCTAAGTCTAACCCATCCTTAACAACCCCATCTTGGTCCACACTAAGGCACCTTTCAGGAGGGGCTCTTTTAATGCTCCCTAAACATCCTCTGGAGAAGTCCTTTCAACAATATTTCCCCTGGCCTGGAAAAGTGGTACAGTCCAAGGTGGAGCAGTTAATAGCGGTGGGAGTTTCAATAGCAGAGAAGGAGGGGTCAGTGTGTCAGACTGTGGGATGGGGATATCCCTGGCTCACTGCCGCCCTGCCTGGCTTCCTCTATTACTGTTAATGAGATACCCAGCCTCACACAACTGGCACACACACAATAGGAGAGAGAGGGGAAAAGAAAGAAAGAGAGCCGGAATGATAGACACAGACAAGGCCTTAACTTCTACCAACCTGTTTTCACTTTCTGCACTTCTTTTCCATCTTTTTTTTCTTCTCTTGAACTGGAAAACATTTCCAGTCGTGGCTCTAACCTGTCCCAGGACCATGCCGTGCCTTGTTTTACTCTCAAACTTTCTTTTTCAAAAATTTGTTCCTACTTAAAATTCAACTGCTTTTCCTTTCAGCTCTTTCTCCCTGCAGTCATTTCAACTGTGACCAGTGAAGGCTTGCATCACCACCAGTCCAGTATGCTCAATCCATTTGGGAATACTGTGCGTCAAGGTGATGATTTCGCACCAACGTCGCTCTGCGTGTTGTGCGGATCATCGCCCTGTTCGATGGAGCCGTAGCGCTGCATTAACCAGCAGACGGCATTTATGAAATGTTGTTTGCTCACACAGACGTGCACTTATTTCTCTTGTGAGCTGTGTGTTCACACTTCCATACATCAGGCTGAGTAATATTGACTCAACAGCCTCCAGTCACACTTTTTCCTCTGGTGATGCGACCCCTTAAACAGGGTTAGTACCAACAGGGCAGCGCTCGGCTGTGCTGCGTTACACAGTGTCTCAGGGTATTTGTTTGTCATTTCTCGTGCTGCTTCCAATTTGCATCAATTTCAGCTGTTCACATCGTGCCTTTTCTTTTTTTCATTTATATCCTACCAACCCCCTTCTTATCATCCCACCCCATCCCGAAGGCAGGATATCCTGCGCAGGGAAGACGCAACAGTAAAGACTATAGCAAACACAGGTGGTCGGACTTCCCCTGAGCTGCAAGATTTGTTGTTTTGTTTCTTGTTTTGTTTTTTTCTTTTAATCAACCTGTAGTCAGTGTAATACAACTCACAAAAATTACTCCGAGCCATCATTTTATTCATAACAACCTGAAGTGACTTGTTTAGCAAGCGTGTTCGGCATCCCCGTGGACTTTTTAGACTTGACAAGATAAACATCCTAGATAGACTCAGTTTGCTTCCTGTTACAGCTCTTGCTAATAACAATGCTGACAGGAAACTGGTTCTCCTACATGACAAATAAACTTTGATCCAAGCTGTTTCCTAGCAACACAATACCACTGAAACATTTTATGCATATTTAAGATTGCACGCATAAGGTATATTCGTTGTAACTCTTATGGTGCATTAGCTCGTAGGCTCTCCTCATATTTTACACTGAAATCCAAGCCAGTTTACTCCCACCAAACTCATCTGGTGCCGTTTCCTGTGAGAAAATGTATTGGATGTATTCCTTTCCCACTGAGTGGTCCCAGTACTTTATGATACGAACCAGAGACGCAGCAACGGCACCCTAAGATATAGGATACACAATCCTTCTTCTGTCTTAGACTTGGTTCATTTGTATCTGTCCAGTTACTGCTTTTGTTTGTGGACTTTTGGCTCTCAGTCAAAGTACAGTGTTGGGAAGAATCCACTGTGATTGCCAGCAGCTCCCCTGAATTAGGTCACGATTGTAATCAGCCTACTTTGTGAAGTCTCTCTTACGCTCATGTTCAATTTATCGTCAATTTGTAAAGTGTTCTACTGAAACAGATGTCGGTAAATAACCTTATGACAGGCAGGCAAATGTCCAGAATCCGAAATCTCTGTGTCCTTGCTTATTCCCAACGTTATCCCATTTTCCAGCCAAGTAATTATTGGATAGAGGATGAAGTTAAACTTGTGACTTCCTGCTGAAGAATTCTGATCGCTAGGGCTGTCTGGCAGCAGTCTTTGTTCTCATTGCCAAAGTCAGGATCTGTATGTGAGAAAATCTTTTCCCACAACCGGCAGAAAGGGTTCGTGGATGGGAAGGCCAGAATCGACATTGTACCAAAGTTTTCCAGTACTTTGTTTATTTACTTGTAATTTTCTAATTTGTTGGCAACTAGCTGGAGGTGTGTTTGTGTTTGATATCCCTACATCGACGCACACACATGCACACACAAATACCCCTCTGTAGATTGTGTTGGTGGTTCAAGCCGTTTACAGTGTATCCCTGGGGATTAGGACTTATTTGCATAGATCGTCTGGAAAACATTTCCACTGCTCCATTCCCAGGTTTATCAAATACCCAGTGTGTGAGTGTAAATGGATGTGTGAAAGAGGAAGAGGAAAAAGCGGAGGAGAGCGAAGCTTGTCGTTGTTTGATCATGTTTGAAGCAAGGAAAATTCTTCTGAACTGATTCATCAGGAGTTGAACTCTAAGTTATAATTTCACTCTGTAAATCATAATTCACGATCAAAGACTGAATCGTTGTCCACATTTTGTTGCTTTAAAGTTGTTTGATGAGGCTTCTTACGATCTGCAACCCTGTTACATGTTAAATATTTAAAGCACAACACCCTTCTCCAATTTAATTCTCCATGTGCAATATTATCATTTAGCAGCTATCAACCGTGCCAGACTATAATTTCTCCGGTGATGTAAAAATATATCAGAGTCCTTCACAGGATGGCCTCTCACTTTTAATTAATTACAGGCACATGCATGGGCGCACACTGACATCTTCACACATGCTGTACAGTATTAGAAGGGCTAATCTGATTTCTCTGGTTTAAGGCACGATATTGGATATGAACAGGATGGTAGTCATACTTTTTTTAAAGGAAAACCATCCATCGTTGGTGCGTGAAAAAGACTGTCTGATTTTAAATAACTTTGCCAGGCATCAGTTACCATGTTGGAGACTATTTGGATGTTGAACATGTTTGCAGTATCTAGTCAGTGTTTTATTGGGCCAAGGCTGAGAGGCCTGCTCGATAAAGCTGGCGGGTATCCCTTTAAATCCTCTCAGTGTGTCTGAATCGTGGCCAGAACGGACATGATATAAGGTTTTTGGAGGTGGTCCTCTTCCAGCGAATGAAGAGATTGGTTTGAATGCGACATTAGTGTTGGGGATGTAAGAGCTTATAATGTTTTAAGTTCAAAGGTTAGGGCCACGGTATAGAATGGTAATCCCAGAGGATTACTACGAGAATCTGGTAAATATCTGGGGAAATCCCTCTCAGGGACTCTCAGATCCTCTGTTTGTACGGATATTATACCCTCTAACAGTGAGTCCACATGTGTTTACTGAAAAGAGGTTTAGAGTTTTGCATGCGTATTAAACTGGAGAGATGAGAGAAATATCAACATTTGCCTGAGCCAAAACATTCAGATCTGACAAGTTAGTGTATCGCCCCAAACAGTAACTATCTGCTGGGGTGGTCCACCAAGACCGCTATGCATTTCTGAGGTTTTTGCCTGTTTGCATTTGCAGTTAGCAGGAACACTTGCATGAAGTATTGTTGCTACATGGTTGGCATAGCAACAACTAGACCACATTCACAACAAGCCGGAAGGTGCCATGATTGGATCTTTTGTGGTAATAATAGACTTGGGAAAAAAAAGACATGTAGCTG